TATCTTTTTACAGTTTTCTCTGGATTCCATTACAAGTCTTGACCAAATAATATTTTCAAATCTTTTCTAAACAATTTTTTCAACTTAAAGCATTTGTCAATTTGAGTTTATATAATAAAGTAAGAACAAATTCACAGCACCCCTTACGCACTCATGGATGAATACCCAAGTGTAAATTGGAAAGAAAAGAGATTTGTGATGCACTCAGGAAAATACAAATTTGGAGAAAAGAGAATGTTTCCTGTTTGTAATTCCACTGCAGAGAGAAATAAAAGATAACACACCTTTGTCCTGATTTCTACCCAAGATTCATGAGCCCTTGTCATCACTCCTCCCAGATGAACTTTAACATTAATACTAAAGATGTCTAATTAACTTGACTTATACCAGATATAAATCAATACATTGAACAGGCCATGTTTATGGCAAGATGTTTCTGTAACAAAAACATACATTAGAAACTGAGAAACCTTATGCACCAAGAGATATCTTATGCTACCTCACCTTAAAGTAAACAGATTATATTTTTTATAATCTCAGTGCAGAGTTAATTCTGGACTAAATCAACCTCAATTCATTAAGTAAATGACATTTTACATTTCAAGTTTAATATGTATATGCGAGTCAGGCATTTTATCACAAAATATTTTCATACAGAACCTTTACCTACTTCAGTCTTGCTGCAGGAAATTATAAGTGGTTTTGGGAAATACAACAATTACAGTAACTTCCTGATCATCCTAACAAGTCCTGTCATTCAAAATTAAACATTCAACTTTTCCATTTAAGTGTGAAAGAAGTGGAAATTAATTCAGAAATATGAGACGGAAAGAGCTCCAGGGAGTAGGCAGACTATGTCAGAGGATGGAGGAAAACTGTAATTAGTAACAAATAACAAAGTGTCAACACCAGTTTAATCTAGCAAGCTAAAGTCATTTATCTCCTGAACAATTTTAATTATTTCTTTACCACATAGAAATTTTGGTATCTGTAACATAAAAAAGGCTGAAACAAATACACATTTCAGCTGTCACTGACAACTAGAAACCAATCATTTTGGCATGCCAGGCCCAAATATTTTCATTTGACTTAACTGTCATATGCCTCAGTGAATAAATTCATTTGTTTTCACATTCAAACAAATTAGAGTGCATAGCTGAGTTGATATCATCCATTTATTATATAAGTGCACTGAAACCTGAAGGGCTAGCACTGTATGACTTGCTTTTTGCCAAGCCACAAGCACCAAATTCAAACAAACAAAATAAACTTTTTATTCATTTTCTGAGAAATACGGTTGTATGCTTCTGGTTCCTTTCCTGTTTCAACATACAGAAGCTGTCAACATTCTATGGTTTTAAATTATCCAGCACTGCCACAGCCAGATTCTAAATATTTCCCACTGGCTGGAACATTTTGCAAAGCAAGAACTTTTACTGAACCAAAATACTAGTTCATACCCATTTAAACCTTTAACATACCCTTTTAAAAACAACATCTAAAACATCTTTAGCCTGTAATGTATATACATTATATGGCAAGCCTGGAAATAAGGCACATTTTCCACTTTGGACCAAAGAAACCCCTCCGGCACAAGGCAGTCCAAACTAGCAGTAGTGAATGGAGTTAGAGAATGATGTTGCTTATGGCCTAAACAGAATTATGTAAGCAAAGGAACATTTCCCAACAAGCCAGGAGTACAACCAATGCAAAAGAAAAGCAAACAGCTTACAGACAGGAAACTTTTACTTAATTCAAGAGGGAAAGGGTCTACATGAAACAGTTTTCTTGATGGCAGACAAGTGTGTTCTTCTGTAACAGAGATGCCAGACTTTTAGGATCATTTTTCCAGACCCTTAAGTTCCCCCAACAACAACTCTTTGTTGATCGCTTTGCATTTGTGTGTCATTGTTATTCCCTGTCCTGTTTATTCAATTGAGTATAAGCTTGAATGCATACTGAAAAGAGAGAAGTATAATGAAAATTCAATATTTTTACAGGTTTTATCAACAATTGGGGGTACAATTAGCCCTTCTGAAACCCCACCCGCTTTCCTTCATCGGTCAGTACATCTGCAGGTCAGAGACAGCAATGGATATCACACCAACAAAGCCTGAAAAACTAGACTTGCAGCTTCATAGAAAATCGAGACAGGGCATCTCTTAAGACCACACAAAGTGCAAAATGACTCTTAAAGCAAATGCTTTTAAAATTAGAGACCAGAACTAAAAGACAACTATGTCCAGTTGATTACAAGGACTTAAGGCTTAAAAGCAACACTGCTCAATTGTCCTGTGTATTGCCACAATAAGGAGACTTGATGGGTGAGCCACCGAGTGCTCTTAGGACTCATTTATGCTGTGCAGTTGACTTGAAATATTGGCTATGGTCAGTCTTTAATAGGGTTAAATTACCACATTCTGAAAGAGACCAACAGTGCATTCAATCAATTTCATAGGCTCTTGAACCATAATGAAACAGAACTGTAACATTTATTTACCTTCCACTTGGAATAGACTTGAAACAAAGTATATTGTCTTGGCGAAACAACAAGTCTAAGTCTTTCAGACCTTATCCGCAAGAAAACTATTAGGATTTCATCTACGTAACATATAGATTTCACAATGATAACAATAAAAGCAATGAACATATCAGGTATTCAGACATAATTATCCTTCAATTATAGTAATAAAGTTGAATAAAGAAATGTTAGGAAGTGAATTACCCAATGGCATCAGGAAAGATAGCTTTCTTATTCAATTAAGTAAAGTTTATTCTCCGGAGATGAATGAACAGCATGACTTTGGCAAGGCAACAGCTTCCTACTGAGGTACACAGGTCTTTTTTATGCCTTTCAGTTTCTTTACCTCAAGAGACCCAACTTAGATGAAAGTGCAATTAACAGATAAAAATAACAACAATTTTGAAAAAAGGTTAAGTCTAGGTCAGGTCAAGTTTATAACAAGTAGTCAAATATATAAAGATCAGATGTCCTTATGTGCTTGAGAAGGAACCCCGTATAATACATTATTCATGCTGAACATCTAATTAATGTATTTATTGCTTATTTTTAAAATGAAAAACCAGTATTGCATATTATGATACAGATATATATAGAAAATAACACAAGTGAATGGAGGCAGCAAGAAAAGCACCTTAATCTTCTTGGGCAGGTAGCTAATCAATGTGATAAAACACTTGTTTCTAAGGATAGTTCCAGTCACCGACCTGTGCTACATGGGAAAATCACAGGGGATCACCAAGAAAAAATTAGTTCTAAGCAAGTAAAGCACACCACTTATGCTGAACAGCTAATTAAAAGTTCAAGGGTGCAAGTCTGAAATTCACATCATGTCAGCTGGTCCCCTCCTTCACAACTTTGCCAGGTGTTCAACCAATAATTCATCTGATGATAAGGAGTGCAGCTCTGTCTGGTTACATGGCCTGCTTACCAACATTGCTTTGGCATGCAGCAACAAACAAAGTCCCACTTAAAACATCACACCATCAACATAGAAATTACTCCAGGCTATACTAGAACCCAAAACCTTGGGTATGCCAAAAAAACAAGGTAATTAAGGTTTCCCAATTGCCAGTTCTGGTATCTGCATTTGGTAGCGGGAGAGTTAGTTCTATCTAGAGTTTGACAGTTAATTGATGACTAAAATAGAATGCATTTCCTTGCATGCTGCATATCTCCTTGATGATTCAAGATTAAAAAACATGACCCTGCTTTGGAACAACTCCGGATGATTTTTTTCTTTTTTGAGCACACGTGTTAATATCTTCATTAGTGATAACCACAAAAGACCTACACTGAGATGAAAAATAACACTGAAAATCAACTTTCTGTCATCACTGATAACACAGACGAGGACATACCATAGGCAGCCCCCATTGACTCCTTCTAAAACACTCACAGATGAGGACATACATTAGACTCCTTTCAATGCATTTTTAGAGTTCTATTATAAAATACTTCATTCATCAACATTTTAATATTATCATTTTCATTATTCTCGAATAAATTCGCTATAAAAAGTATACAAGTTATTTTCCTTCTTTTGTGCTATTTTAATTATAAACTGATGGACTGGAAATGCCACAGCTCATGCTTATTCACAAAAACTCAAATAAAAACAATTTTACTTAGCATTGAACCACAAGCTCAAATTCCCTCCCCAAAAGTAACTATATCTTCAAAGTGCAAGGGGTTCTCCCTTTCTCTGAGTTTTAAGAGCCACTGGTTATCTGATGACATCCAATAATTTATAATAAGATGGGCTTCAGATAGCAAGAGAAAAATAAATTTTAAGGCTACTTCGCCGCCCTAGAGTGAAAAAAATGTCATTCAAATGTGTTCCCTCTGTCTGTCTGGGGTTGACTTTAAGACCCCTGTTGAGATAACGCATTAAATTTGAGATGAATAAACGTTTACACATCAGTGATTTTAAGACCAGCCCCCTGACGCTAACCACACAAATTATATTGGAGAAGGTGATCAGAATACCTGAATGTACAGTTCAATTTATGTTGTTAAAATGAGGTAATTTGACTACTTGTTATAAGGGGCCTGCGTTACTGCCTGTCTGCTCACTGAGCTGACTTTCCTCGAGGCAGAAGTCAACTATAACACTGATAACAAAAGCGTGCATTATGAAAAAAGATGTTAAAAAACAGACACCCATTGATCGCAATAGTTGATATAAAGTCTGGGTAAACGTATGGCATCAGACAGCAAGCCTTTCAGGGATTACACTGCTTTGCTGCAGTCTCCCACACGACTTCCTACCTCACTGATGGGGAACCTATTAAAACTGTCTTGAAAGTCAAATCACTTTAGAAATTCAATTTTCTTTTCACACTGAATGATTTTCATTGTGTACTGGCAATATACATTTCAATAGAAGCACGTTATACAGTAAGCACGGAAACTTTTATCAAGAAGAGTGGTTTTAACTTGCCGACCCGTGCTTTAACAAGTGGCCTGGCATACTTACAGTATCGTTGTCTCCGGGGGGACTTGGGGGATCTTTTCTAGGTGTAAAAACATACACCGCACTGTCGTCCTGAAGCACAGGCATCGGCTAGGACACGGTTGTGCTATACTACTGTGGAAGAGCAGGGCAAGATATAGCAGTAACTTCCAAGCCATCTTGCCCGGCTTCGTGGCCTCTTGCTCCTGCCCCCTAACTTAGCAGTTTACACAGCCGATTGCTGTGTGTGTACTGAACAAAACACTAAACAGACACAGGAAATGCGCACGCGCTGAAAGTTGTGCCCTCGCGGAGCGAGTAGGCCGACTACCGACTCCTTTATCTTCAAGCGGTGTTAGGCAGTGTGTCGCACTCCAACCGGTGATTCAACTTTAATATACACTGAGATTGAATTGAATTATAAGGCCATCCAAACAGAGTAATGATTAATGAAGTGTGTTTGAACTACTTTGGAGAATAAAGAGCGGTGCACTCAAGACGCCGGTTGGAGATGGGGAATGCTGGGGCTATAAAAAATCGCTTTTGACTATTTTTAATGGGAAGTGATTTTATAAAATGAAAAGGCTAACATTATTTTTTGGTTAGGTAATCCTTTCATTCGTTAATGAGAAGCTGATTTTATGTTAGTTTTACCTAACAGTGGTCCATATTAAAACACTTATAGGGCCTAAACCGAATATGTAAAAATAGATCACCGCGAAACGCGTCAGCACTGCGTTAAGGTAGGCCTATATGTTGCTGGTGCTATAGAACAATACTCAATATATTGTTTTATATTATAAAAAGTAGGTTTTGAACGAAAATTTGCATTAGGAAATTTTTTTTCACATCGATGAAAAGTGGGGGCACTATGGAATCTAACGAAGAAGTAGGCCTACAAATTAGTTTCTTTTCGGTAGAATGATAGTCAGTAGAATGATATTTTTAAAATCAACAACGTGGATTTTTGCTAATACGTCGACGAGAATGTTCATGAAATGAATGAAACGCTAACAGTAGCCTAAGTTGATTATTGAACCGGTCTCAGTGGCGTATTTAGGGGGGAAGTCAAGGTGGTCCTGACACCCCGACCCTTCGATTTCTTATTATAAAAAAAAAACGCACCAAAATATCAATCATAGTTCTAAACCGTACCAAATGGCGCCATTTGCCCTCCAAAGCACCCAATTTGTTTCTGGGCCCTCAAGCGTGCCCCGAACCTGACACCAAGGGGGTGAGGGTCGGCCTCGCAATCCGGCCTGTCAATCCCTAAAAAAACGGACCCCCCCCTTTCAAAAATTCTGGATCCGCCCCGCCAATCAATTTGTGTTTGTGGCCTATGTCATGTCTTCATTTCCTTAACGATTTTTTTTCTTTTTTTTTGCGAAAATTTGAACATAGTCGCAATAAATTTTATAATAATAACCGAGTATCACCCTGTTGAGGTGCACGGTGACAAATAACCTATTATTAATACATGGTTATCAAGACCACTCTTTCCTCGACTTTACACAGACGATGGACCTAGGTCCTTGAACAGACAGACCTAGCCTACAGGATTCATTGATTTCTGTTTTTCACTTCTTATAAAAAGGTTTTGAGCAGTAGTGATCATTTCTTCATTATTAAGGCCTGTTATTCCTGCCATGGGGATGTAAGCAGGGACTAACAACTGGGAAAATAGAAAAGTTTAACTTTAAGGACAACAAACACCCAACGCTCTCTATTTATAATGATCATACATAGGCCTAGTTTGAGTCTCGTTTTCTCTTTTAGATTGGAATGCAAGCTCACTTTTACATAATCATTAAAAGGATGTTGTGGTATGTTTCTTGACTATACGCCCAATTATTTTGAAGACAATCAGAATATAGCACAAGGTGATATAACCGGTTTTCTCATAATGCGCCAGCCGCCGCGTGCTAAGCTTAGTTCATTTGCCGAGCGTCATTGATTGTGACGTGGTGTAGATTTGCTTTCATTTCACAACTAATGCAATTATGGTTGCTCTTCATTTATTGAAGTACAAGAGGTGCAGTAAGTCATGGCAGAAGCAGGCGAACAGTCTTGTGTATTTTGCAAAATTGCCAACGGGAAGGATGAGAACGCTGAGTTGCTCTTTCAGGTAGCGTGCACATAACCCTATGACGTCCTACTGACATAGCATTTAACCCTTTCCTTCCAAACGTGGGTGGGAATTTCCATAATAAGTATAGAAATAGAATAAAAACTGGAGTATTCTTGTCATTTCCTTTGGCATCTGCCCAGGCCATTGACACCATTCTGTATTACTCTGAAACTGTCTTTCGCAGCTTTCCTTTTTTTCTTCTTCTGTTATTATTATTATAGACAAGTGATACATTAAGTAAACATTAAATGTAGATCCTTGTGATATACATTGTCTTACAAGTTAAAGTGAGTAAATAGACTCGAGCTTGCACTTCCGTGTGCATAACTATAGATTTCACTGTCTCACAACACAAAACCCTAGCAACATTCACGTGTTACTCTTTTTGAGCTCACACATGCAGCATACTGCTGAAAAGCAAATTATCAGAGCACATCAATGTACATGTACTTACGGTGCTAACCTTGGCCAATTTTGCTTTTCATAGCGCTTGTCAGCAGTGTACAACACACCCACTAAGTGTACAACATACTATGTGTAGATGAGAAGAAAGAGGGAGTGATGGGAGGTATACAAATGGGTGGTATTGGAGAGGCTATGTTTTGAGTGCGCCTATCTGATTCACACTAGAGCACCATATAGGGAGTACTTGCATACATACTAAAGTATAAAATGTGTGCTAGATACTGGTTATTAGGCCTTTATGCGATAACTCATAGTAGTAATTTAAATATTTGCATTTTATCAGAAAAGATTAATATAAAAAGGTTAACATTTTCAGGATGAAGCATATGCAGTTTTTAGAGACCATAAACCTGCAGCATCAACCCATCTACTCGTTGTACCAAAAGCTCATATATCAGATGCCAAAAGTCTAAAAAAACAAGATTTGGAGTTAGGCACGTACCGGTATCAGTTTCCATAATAAGTATAGAAATAGAAAATCTTCTGTCTGTTGTCTTTCCTATAACTGCCAAACCATATTTTTGTTTTATTTTATCGCTTTTAAATTTGCTGAGTGACTTTGTTTTAAAACAAAATGTTTTATTTTGTTAAAAAATGGAGCAATAGAAAAAGTTTTTTGTGTCTGTTTATCTGTCAACTTTGCTGTCTAGTCTTTTTCTTGCCCACCTCATAATTTCAATGATTATTATTTTCTCAGGTTTATATTTAACCCTTTCTCATACGAAATGGTACTGTTTGAAAAATTAACAAAATCATTATTTATAAATTGGTTTTATGTTGCACTCAATTCATATTCTGTTACGTTACATATCTTCAGTTACCACAATGGTGAAGATTGGTGAGCAGGTGTTACAGGAACATGGTGGGGAGGTAACCAAAGCAAGGTGATATTATCAAAAAATTGTGTGCCCTTTTAAAACATTGTGTTTTTATTTATTTATTTATTTATTTATTTATTTATATTTATTTATTTATTTGTTTGTTTGCTTGTTAGGAAAAAGACTCATCATAATTGTTCTCCAATCTTTTCTTTTTTTTTTTCTCATACTGCTACATACTGGTATAGTCTAGTGAGATTTCCACAAAATGTGAATAGTAGGGGCATTTTTGGGTAAAAGTTGGGAACCAGGCTTATTGGCATAATTTTGGCATGCTGAATCCGATTTACCCGGTTCCCAAGCGAAATTTTGCATTTTTAACGGTCTAATTTGCAAAAAACAAAATGGCCGCCAAATTTCCAATTTTCTGCAATATCTCTGTAACAAGACAGGCGAATATGACAAATGAAGTGTCCTTACCTATATTTTCAGAGTCGAGGAACATCATTAAGATATTTCTGTTAGAATTTGGTTTACCCAATTTTCGTAAATATGCAAATTAGGACCGCCATTACTGAAAAACCGTTTTACTTCTGTATTTCTGCAACTAGGCAAGCAAACATGACACATGAAGTGCCCACACCCATGTTTTCAGGGTCAAGGAAAGTGGCTAAGATATTTTCACTATAACCAAATCAGTAATAAGTGCTACACTGTCACACTGTTGCAATTATTGGAGTTTGAATTGAATTTGGCGATTAAATACTGTGCTGCCATTGGGATGTAAACATTGGACCACACAATTGCCCTTTTTACCTAGAAAAAGGTGATTCCCTTATTAATGCAATGGAGGGATTTACTGAATCAAATAATTCATGTGATGCAATGTACAGACTTGACATTTAATATAACAGTAATAATAAGTTTATTGAGCACTAAATGATACTACAGTATGAATGCATTTGCAGGCTCACTAGACTACATTATTCACACAATTTATAAGAATATACATTTATATATGGAATTTTTTTCAAACATATTTTCTTTGATTTTTCCCCATCTGTTAGTAATGAATGGAAAGATCACTTCTTATCAAGTTCGATATGGCTTTAAAAAAATCATCCTGTGTCAATACATTATCAAAAATTTAATTTAAATATTCAAATCAGCATTACAAACAGCACATGGGTAATTTTATAGCAGATAACAACAAGGTACTGAATTCTTATGAACTCAATATTATCAAAAATATCAGGTGGTAAGGATTTTCTCTTAAACAAAAGAAACATCAAGACAAATTTAAAAAAAATGGAAACAGTTAATAATGCGTGCAGCCTCCTCTAGCTGCAACCAGAGCCCTCATTCGGCGAGGCATTCCTACAGAGAGGTTTCTGAGAGTTTGATCCAGTATTGTGTTCCACGCATCAGTCAGAGCTTGTCTAAGCTGGTGCAGATTTGTAGGCGGGACCGGTAAGCTTTTGATTCTGCGAGTGATTTCTGCCAACAGGTTCTCTATTGGATTCATGTCAAAGGTTTGCGGAAAAGCAGTTATTGCATGGGTACGGTATGGTCTGGCATCGTCATCTTGAAGGAGGAAGTTGTCCTGGAAGTACCTTCTTGCAAATGGCAAGCAAGTATTCTCTAAAATGTCCCTGTATTTCTTCTGGTTGAGGTTTCATTCAATTGCCACCAATGGTGTTTTGGCTCCAGCGTGGAAACTGGCCTATACACAGAAACTGTCACCGCCACCAGTCACTGTAAAGTAGCCTTGCGTTCACTTGGGTTCTAGTAACAAGCTTTTGAATGGTAATTTGCCACTCATTTTGTAGAGCACTGGTGTTTTTGTCCGGTTGTTGCTACATAACTGCAGAAGCAAGCGGTCTTCCCTTCTGGTGGTGACTTTAAGACGTCCTGGTCGTGGTCTCTGTAAGACTAGAAACTGCTCCCTGGGATACATTCAGCTGTCTGGCAATAGCAGTTTGCTTCTGCCCATTCTGGCATAATGCAACAATAGTGTGGCAAGTTGCTGCCATTAGTTCACGTACCATAAGGTCAGCTAAGATTCTGCAAAACATCAAACTCTTCTGACTGGGTATTACCGAAATATGAAGACTTATTCTGCTGAATTGATGCCTTTTATACGAATTCTGTAACCAGCCAAAGAGGACTGCTCAGAGAAACTGCCACATATTACCTAATATAACCGCGCTTCAGATAAAGCAGCCTAACGAACAATAACCGACACACCTGGCTATACATATAGCTGACCACAATTGACATATGTGATCAACTTTTCTAAAGAAAAAGTTAATTTATTAAAGAAAGGAGGCGGAATCATAGGTATCACAAAAACAACATCAGCACTTTGTTGATGGACACTTTTGTATGCAACTGAAGCGCTTGCTATGTTCAGCCACTTTCCTAGCAGTGTGCGTTTTCAAAGTGAAGCTACTCAATCAGGACGAGGATGCATTGCTCTTGGTCTTCATGAGATTCAAGGTGCAGTGGCAGATTTAGGGGAGTTACAGGGGGGTCCTACGAGGCAAATGGGACAGTTGACTTGCCGTCTCTCTTTAAGCATGAACTTCTCCCGGTCCCTGCATCACTTGCTGAAATGAATGGTACACTGTGCACCGGAAACAAATTCGTATTAGCAGAAATGTTAACAGAAGACGTAGTCTGCCCTGCTGAAACTGAACTGAATGACTCTTTGCCTTGCCTAACAATTGATGGGCAAGCAATGGTAGTTTCACTGGGAAAGCCTGACAATGAAGTGACTTTTGGTGGTTTTGCTGACTCATACGTAAGAGCAGCTCTGAAGGCAGGTTCTAACTATCAGCAGATTGACGTTGTGTTTGACAGATACAGGGAAGAAACAATCAAAGGTGCTTCTCGGACACGACGCACAAAGTCAGTGCGACCCCTCAGACAAGACATCTGATTTATCACATTCCCTGACCCTGAGAACATAGGTGTGGGCACTT